GTCTGTCTGTGTGTATCTGTGTGTATCTGTGTGTGTGTCTGTGTATGTGTGCGTCTGTCTGTGTGTCTGTGTGTGTCTGCCTGTATGAGCGTGTCTCTGTGTCTGTGGGTGTGTGTATCTGTGTGTGTGTGTGTTTGTCTTTGTGTGTGCGTGTGTCTGTATGAGCGTGTGTCTTTGTGTCTTTGTGCCTGTATGAGTGTGTGTGTGTGTGTGTGTGTGTGTGTGTTTATTTCAATCAGAGGAGATACAGATAGAAGTGCTTGACTCTTGAACAACACTTCAGACTCCAGATTCTGATGGAGCCGTGATGATGATAGGTGTTTGAGATGGATTCCTTAAAACATGTAAGATTAGTTTGAGGGTGAAACTAGCATTTCTCCTTCTGTGTGGTTTCAGTGAAGCCACAGTGTTTCTGTTCCAGTAGAGAGTGCATGTTGAAACAAATGCTCAGCTATCTTCTCCTTTTCAGAAACACACATCTATGAAAGCCAAAGGCCTCTCAGCGACCTCTGCTTACAGCTAGCGAGAGTGGAAGTATGTAAACACACCGACCGCGGGGACATTCAGAAATAAAACAAGGAGGGCTTTCCCGTTACTATCGCTGTGGCTGACAGGAAGTCAACAATGAAGACGTATGAGGGCAGAAATAAGAATGAAGCTTGACTTTTGATCCACATGCTGAAGGAGGAAGCAGGCAGACGTGTGTGTGTGTGTGTGTGTGTGTGTGTGTGTGTGGGATGGGAATTTGAAAGCAACAAAAAAACATTTTAAATAATGAATACATTTTCGTTTGTTGTGTAGGACTCTCCGTTAGAGTTCAGGGGTTAAGTTGGGATTTGATATGTGTGTGGGGGGGGGGGGGGGTGGCTCTCTGTGGAGGAACGAGGGTATATATACAATTATTAATATACACACAAAAAGGTTTAAAAATATCCAACCTTAAAATTGCTATTTTGAATCAGCATTGCTCGGCACACTTGTGAAATATCAAAGTGTGTGGTAACCCCTGGTAACGTTACACATTTAAAAGGGCACTGTCGTATACATGTAATTTATTTATTTTATAATATGTAATCAACTTAGGCACCCCTCCCATTACAAAAATTTAAATTACAATACAAATATTCTAATGCTGTCAAAATTATCGCGTTAACGGCGGTAATTAATTTTTTGAATTAATTGCGTTAAAATATTTAACGCATTTAACGCATGTGCAGAATGGCCCGCCCCATACGTACCACCAGTGGCAGCGCCAGGGTATGGCTGGGGCAGGCTACAGCCATACCAACAAATGGCTTAGCCCCACCATGAACAATGATGTTAAAGGAAGCGAAATAAAGTCCGCCAACTCGCGCGGAGTAAATTGCACAGACAGCAGTTAGTCAGATTGATTTCAGCCACTTGTCTGGAAATACCGAAGACCAGAAACGGTTTTAGAAAACTTTTGTCATGTAGTGATCGTCTTCTCATTAGAACATCTTTGATAATGTCTTCTGGCCAATCAGAATCAAGATAACGGCGTGGTGTTGTTGCAGGAAGTCCCGACGGAGAATACTTTTGCTGTAGTACAGGTAACACATAACTGGTACGCAGGTTATGTGTGTAATCTGAAATGCGTACCGTCACTTGTGCCACAAAGCGCATTTGCGTACCGACGTACTTGTGAAGCTTTTCCAGAAGGCGGTTAGATCACCGGACGACAGAGTCGGTCTCCGTGTGCACAGACAGGGCTGCTGTTAACGTCGGTCTGTACAACGGAACTGTGCCAAAACTACGCCAACCGGCTGCGGAGGGAGACTCTCTCTCTCCCCCCTTCACTGGAGCACTGCGCTAAAACAGCTGATCACAACGTTCACACTCTGTGGTCATGAAGTACTCCACTAGGCCCCCCCCCCCCCCCGACTTTCCTGAAGTACTCCCCCGTTGATAGAAATCAACACGTAATGAATTAAGACCCCACGGTTTGATGATTGATAGGTGTGTGGGCTGTCTTTCATTTTGACACACAGAAAAATGTTATAATAAACATACATATGTGAAATGGATATATCCGCCTTCTTTCATTTATCTTTCCATTCCCAACAATATACATAAAGAAATGGCATATTTTGGGCATAGTTCGAATGGTGATTAATCATGATCCCTTGTGTGTGTGCGTGTGCGTGTGTGTGTGCGTGTGTGTGTGTGTGTGTGTGTGTTACCTCCAGAGACGGCCTCATATGGAGGGGGCATGTCGAGCTGAGAGAAGGAAGCATCTGGAGGCAGGGCGGCGGCGGAGGGCTCCTCTGTGGACAGATCATCCTGAGCTCCATACCAACTGGGCCACACAGAGGTCTGCTGCAGGGGGGGGGGGGGGGGGGCACAGGGAGAGTTCATTACACAATAAACAGACGTACAGAAAAAAGTCATTCAAGATACATTAATAATAACATGTATATTTGAATACCAGTCCCTTTAAATAAGGGAGGACTGGAATGATAGCATCCAGGATAGCATTCTCTGCATGGCGGCTTTGAGTGTAATCACACAGATGTCAGTGTTTGTCTCCCCTCTTTCCCAGTGAAGAAGCTCGAGAGTCAGAATGAGTTCCTTGCCAAGTATGGTTTCACATTTTCTTTGAATTTATGACTAAAATAAAGAGTCAAATACATTTGAGTTAAAAAATAAGAGCAAGTAGTGCAAGAATCCATCATATATCAATCACTGAGTATAAGACAGATATAGAAACCGTAGAAGAAGAATAAGAAACACAGAAATATATATATAATTAAAATGTATTAGCTGTGCTGGTTGAAGTGGTTGTTTTGTAGAGAAAGGAGCAACCGTTTACAATAACAAGCTATTAAAAATATGTACAGCAAAAGGCCCGCAGAGATGAAGTGAGTAAATAGAGTTATGAAGAAAGCCGCAGCACAAACACACCGAGTTCAAGATAATAACGAGACACACACCCTACATGAGTCACCACTACTTCTAAAGAACTGATCAAAAAATCTCTCTCACTCACTCTCACTCTCTCTCTCTCTCACTCTCTCTCTCTCACACTCTCTCTCTCACACTCTCTCTCGCTCTCCGGCCCACATGCATCTCCTCCATCTCTCTCTCCGCCCCCCCCCCCCCCCCCCTGTGTTTGATTCATTTAACCCAGGACTCGAGTCGTCTTGGCGTTTCTCCAGAAGACGCTCAGTGTGCCAGGTTATGGACGACCACAGGGACCCTGCTGCACATTCTATTACAACCTTAACAGGAACATTATACACCGGAGAGGAGGAGAGACAGAGGAGAGGAGGAGAGACTAGAGGAGAGGAGGAGAGACAGAGGAGAGGAGGAGAGACAGAGGAGAGGAGGAGAGACAGAGGAGAGGAGGAGAGCCAGAGGAGAGGAGGAGAGACAGAGGAGAGGAGGAGAGACAGAGGAGAGGAGGAGAGCCAGAGGAGAGACTAGAGGAGAGGAGGAGAGCCAGAGGAGAGGAGGAGAGACAGAGGAGAGACTAGAGGAGAGGAGGAGAGCCAGAGGAGAAGAGGAGAGACTAGAGGAGAGGAGGAGAGACAGAGGAGAGGAGGAGAGACAGAGGAGAGGAGGAGAGACAGAGGAGAGACTAGAGGAGAGGAGGAGAGACAGAGGAGAGAGGAGAGGAGGAGAGCCAGAGGAGAAGAGGAGAGACTAGAGGAGAGGAGGAGAGACAGAGGAGAGGAGGAGAGACAGAGGAGAGGAGGAGAGACAGAGGAGAGACTAGAGGAGAGGAGGAGAGACAGAGGAGAGAGGAGAGGAGGAGAGACAGAGGAGAGGAAGAAGTAGGGGAAGTAAAAAAAGATTAAAATGTGTGTGTGCAAAAGGGAGAGAATGAGAGGAAGTAGTGGGACATTCTACTTGTATTATGAACCCTCCAGAGGTCAAATATGTTTAAACGTAGCACCACATCTGTGTAACAAATGGTTCAAACCTACAAATAGCTTCAACAACCCACAAGACATAATAGAGCTTGGGAATGACCCTCAAACACTTCAATTATAATGTTTGTATGCACTTTTACATGTTATTTTAATTAACTATTACATTTTTGGGAACATTTATATGTCTGATTTATGAGTAGAGCAGCTGCACACAAAGCGCTTCTCAAATCTATCTTCAGATGATCTCCCTCTGAACATGCCCTTTCCCCTAAACCTCTCTTATAAATAAAAGTGGTTAAACCGAATGTAACTTCTTATAAGAATCTGAGAAATGCAGGCTTTATAACGAGAGTGGTGTGTTTGAAATGGGGCATTTCCTGTTGCACAAATATTCCAAACAATGCTAAAAATACCCCAGCCTCTGCCTCTTAGATTTAACAACCATGATAGATATCTCAGAAGCCGGGGCGGCAGCAAGAACAAACCGGATTTATTTTTCCATTTAAAGGGGACCTATCATGCAAAATGCACTTTTTGATGTCTCTTATAGATCACTATGTGTCCCCGGTGTGTCGGGGAACTCACGCAGCGTCAGAAAACAAAACCCTCTCTCTTTTCCTCCGTACCCAAATCTCTAAAAACGGGGAATAAAAAAGTATTCAAAAGTAAAGATACCCTTATTACTTATCGAAACTGCACATACAATATATCCGATTAAAGCTGAGACTCCACAGATTATTTAAGTATAGTATCTAAAGGAAGCAAACACAGACATCACAACACGTACCTTTTACCGAGCTTTTACGGGAGATCGTCTCACCGTAGCTGTCAATCTGATCAAAAGACGTGTTCAATGGCATTAAAACGAGAAAAAACGCGGCTGAATCGGTTGATCCATAGGTTGATAATGTATCTGTGGCTTTGAAGCAATTGTTGATAATCCATAATTCCATTTTTATGTAAAAATCGGAGCACAAAAGTTAGCTGCTAATGGTAGCCACCACTAGCTATGCAGCTTCCGGTTTTGGCTACGCGTCGTCACTCTCACTCCTTATTTGGTAATGTGTGTGTGTTAGACTGCTGCCAAGACCGGAAGCAGCAGCCACTCTGGTGGCTACCATTAGCAGCTAACTTTTGCTCTGCGATATTTACATAAAAATGGAATTATGGATTATAAATGAAATGAAATGTTTTTTTTATACAGAGACGTTACAAACCTATGGATTAACCGATTCAGCCGCGTTTTTTCTCGTTGTAATGCCATTGAACACGTCTTTTGATCAGATTGACAGCTACGGTGAGACGATCTCCCCTAGAAGCTCCGTAAAGGTACGTGTTGTGATGTCTGTGTTTGCTTCCCCTGGTCGAGTTCGGATGACTCAGTGATAATACTATATACCTAAATAATCTGTGGAACCTCAGTTTTAATCGGATATCTTGTAAGTGCAGCTACGATAAGTAATAAGGGTACTTTTATCTTGAGTTCTGTGCCAATGTCCGTTAGCATTTTTCGCTCAGGGGTCATTTCGATGCTTCGTATGAGACTTGTGTTTTGGTAAAAATGGTTTGTATCGTCAGTTAGCTGAGATTATTTCCGTTAATCTGGTATAAGACATGAATAGGTTCTTAAATATTAAGATCCCCTGAGACACAGTGTCGTGAAAAAAAAAGTAAAGTACCCGCCGGGACTTTGGGGCTTAACAGGTTAAAAAAAAACCCGCAATATATATCACAGGGGAACAAAAAACCGCAATGTCAGTTTTTTTCAATATCGTGCAGCCCTAGATAAAACATTTAACCGGTGCTCGAGGGGAACAATAAACGATAAGCCTGTGATTTGTAGCTGATATCAAAATATGAATAAAAAGCATGTGGCAGCAAAAGTAAGAAACCAACAACTCTTACCAGGGATCAACTGACTCTTGAACAGCAGCTCAAAATATCCACAGACTAACCACGATGTCAAGCTAATTAAATATAATAAGAGATCTCAAGATAAATGGCGCTTATCAGTGGATGACATTTAGACTTTTTTAGAGTCAGGGAACAACAAGACCTTGGAAGAGGCACACAGTGCTCTCTGTGAATCAGTCCTCTCCTGCCTTGCTGTCTGCACTGATCATATTTGCACAAAGGAAATCTCACACGCTGGGTTGACATTTTACAAACTTGTTTAAAAACAAACAAGTTGAGTTTAGAAGAGTAAACCAGAACGACCTATTTACTCATCTTCACTCGCTTAGTATGTCACTGACAATTAAATGTCACGCCTCTCCTCTTTGCACTCAATGTGAAAGTGACTGAAACCAAAAGCCCTCTCTCTTTCTTCAGAGTGAGAGATAGCAAACAGCTCCTCTGCAAAAATGTAACACAACCGTGACCCTGCTTGACTTTCTCTGACTCCAGCGAAATCCAGTCGGATGGAAAAGTCCTGAGAGTCGGCACGGACTTCCCTTTGAGATGCGAACACTTTCTGTGGCCAAATGAAGCTAGAGTGGATAAAGAGGAACTACAGAATGTACTTTTTCATTGTAAGGACAATAAAATAGATTCTTGTTTGCATATAATGTTATGTTGTGTGAAAAAAGAAATCCTACCTTTTCAACTTGAAATTAGCCTATATGCTTCTGCTTGTAAATGTGTTTGCACTGCGCTGATGTTTTTCTATAGTTTTCCTGTTGATAAACGCTGCGCCTATTTAATTCAATTCATGAAGACTTCTCTGTTATTGGATTCCTTGTTCACCAAGCACGAAAAACAGCATTTCATCAAGCATTCAAGGTTACATGGGGTGAGTTATGACATATTAATGGTCTTTTGATGGGTACAAATTCCTTTAAAGTGAAATGTGTCTGCCGGGTTGAACTCAGACACCCACCCCTACACTGCAGATACAAAAAAACGATTTGGATGGCGAAAACACGAGGATGCCACATTGTTGCCGCTATGCAACGCACACTTTTTGCTCAGTGACCATTCTTCAGTCTCTCAGCCGCTATAAATAGATCATCTTTGTTACAAAAAAGTATTTTAGTTAGCCTTGTGCCTTAATAATGAGATATCCTCGAGGCGCTAAAGCACTCAAGTAGTTGACAGCTAGATTGCATGTTTCAAATGTAGGACGTGTGTGTGTGTGTGTGTGTGTGTGTGTGTGTGTGTGTGTGTGTGTGTGTGTGTGTGTGTGTGTGTGTGTGTGTGTGTGTGTGTGTGTGGTCTGAACTTACACTCTGTCTCTCATACATCTGATGGAGGTAGGCCCTTCCTCCGACGATGACTATCTGAGCGTTGCGTGGGTTGTTCAGGTACGCCGCCAGCTGCCTCTGTCTCGATCGATACCAGCACACATAGAAGCATATCTTGATAACGATGAATACAATGACAACTCTGGAGACGAAAGAGGAGAGGGGGGGTGATGAGACATCAGTTTTAAAATATTTTATCCAATTATAACTAATTATAACCAGTTACAAACTCAACAGGAAAACCATTGGAAACAGTTATTTTGTATATTTCTAATAACACACTGACACTGTGATATTTTGTTAACATGAAGGTAAAACATTCACAGAAAAGGCTCATAAGTGGATTGCTAGTGTTTAACCACAGACTGGTGAATTATATATCGTTGATACTGACATGTACCAGTACAGCTCCATTTCTCTGAGATGTCAGTCAGTGGTGAGAGGCTCTCATAGCTGGGGACAACTTTCTGATCCCTAGCCAACACCACAACGTGTCCTGAAAACAGTAACAACAAGAGACAGTATTCACTAACTTGCTTAATGTAATCAATTACAATAAAAGGCTATAAGTCAACTCCACGCTCAGATCGTCTCAGCTAAAGCACTATTCGGTAACTTAAAACAGATGTTAAGTTAAGCAGCTTATTCGTTCACTTAGCTACTTAACTTAGCTAAAAGCAGACAGAAGATGTTGTACTTACTTTACAGAGACAGCTCTTGAGAGTTAGCTGTGAAGGTGTGCCATTTCCCCCTCTTCGTTTCTGAGACGCAAAGAGGAACCAGCTGAAGCTAATGCTAGCTTAGCTATGCTAGCTTAGCTATGCTAGTTAGCAGGCCACAACAACAACAACAGCCTATGTATCCACTCCGCGATTAAAACAAACAGTGATAATGAACCACTTTATCCACATATCTTCTTGGGGTAACACACAAGGTTACTAACTAGTTACCTGGCAAACTACTCGTTAATTTAACATTGAATAAACAACTTATAATCGCGTTATTCATGAAGAGTTTCAACCGTTTCAACTAGCGCATCGCAACCGTTGGTTTGGTAAGTGGGCGGTGTTTATACAGTGGGTGTCCATAACAAATGTTGCCTTCACTAATACCCGGGAAATGCAGCTCCTAATGACACACGATTTTGTAACCATCAGAATGAGCCTATGTTAATGTAATGAAATTATACAAAATATGTATAAGATTGGGCCAAAGTAACTGTTTAAATGTTAAAAATATTCATAGGACCTAATTTCCTCCCCACAAAGGAAATATCAGTCGCAGCCTTTTCGACTGTTGATAATTATTTGGCGTTGTATTCAGTTTCATCAAAAATAGCGATGTTTCCGAGTGTTCGTGAAGGTAGCATACTTCAGTCTTTCAAAATGGTAAAATGGGATAAAATCAAAAGACTATTTCATTAATGTTGTCCTTATATAATCAAAATACCTTTTGTAGTTATTCCAACTCATATAGAATGGTTGTTTATAATTTAGAATCAATGATATATGATAAATTATAGACTACTTTAAAGGGTTATATCAGGTTGTTCCCCTCTCGAACCGTTGCATCCATCTAGTGGTCATGGTTGTGTATTGCAGTCTACAATTTAAAGAGACAACCACATAGTTATGTATTAAACAAAGACTAAAATAACAATGTAAATTGAATAAAAAAGGTAAATATTGTATTAAAAAAACTTCAAATGCCAATTAAAATACACCCAATTCAATAAAGCTGAAGAATCAAAGCTCCATCCATAATCTTGTCCCGAAGTAAAAGCACTGATACCTTTTTTTCTTGTATGTCTGTTCCTGTGCATAAAATAGACAAACAGTTCTTATTACAATCAAAAAGCATCTTTAATTACAGGTTGGCATCCAGGAAAACAATGCGTAGCATGTGTATTATTTACAAAACAATAACACATAAGAGTCCATGATAATTTCCTGTGAAAGAGACTGTGCTTCCCAAATGCTCCAGTGTTGTGGCAAAGTTAAAATCAACCAAAACTGTTGATTTTGAACACAACACCTTTTAATAGTCAATAACATTTAGACTTAATCTTAAGCTATTTATCCAATAACTCAAACACATTTTCCCACAATACTTTTTCAGCGAAGTGACACTCATATATTTATTTCTTTCTTATCGGTTATCCTCCACGATGATGGTTCGTCTCGGGTAGGTGTCCATTTCCACAATTATGTAACGAAACTCATATTTTCCAGTTTTGGGATTCTGTGAAATAACAACAGTATCTCAATTTGGAGGAAATCTGTGTAATGAAATGGTGCATCTTTAGAAATGAATAAAACAAACCTCTCTTGACTCTGTGTGCACCGTCCCTTTGCGTCCTGGCTCCGATCCTTCGACGTAAAACTTCAGTCTCAGATGCTTCACTTCGTCCTTCAGGAACTCATGATGACTGAGGTGGAAACACAAACAGGTTAAAAAACTCTGTAACACCTCAGCAGTACCACCACACAGATGCCTACCTATAAACAACACAATATATTTTAAACTGTACAAAGAAATGTGTACAAATGAAAAATGTATTCACTAGAAATAAGAATAAAACTCCTACCTGACTTGCTGCCTCCTCCCTCGGCGCGTCGTCTCTCCGTAACACTTGATCGGCTCCCCAAAAGCACCAACAACCTACAATTTCAATATACATATATGTTTTTAAACTTTGCTTTTCAACAGATGACTTCTTTAAGATATGCACTGAAATCAAAGTAGAGGAGGTAACATACAATACAACATAAATTGCAAATAAAGTGCAACTATAGCTGTGATGACTTGTTGAATCCATTTGTAGATCGACAGAATAATAATTCAAATATTTTGATAGTTGATGATAAATGTCAAAGTATTTAAGTTTGTACGTTTCATGCAGAAAATGCTGTTTTCAGCCTCTCAAATATGGAGATATCAAGCTGTTTACATCACATTAAAGTGGATGTTTTTGGACTGACAAATCAAGGCACGTAGAGAGAAACTAGGATGGATCCCTATCTCCCCAAAAGCACCAACAACCTTCAATTTCAATACACAGAAACTATTTTAAACTTTGCTTTTTAACAGATGACTTCTTTAAGATGTGCCCTGAAATCAACGCAGAGGAGGTAACATACAATACAACAAATTCCAATTAATGTCACAAATGTTTTTATCTATGTGCAACTAGAGCTGTGATGGCTTGTTCAATTAATGTGTAAATCGACAGAAGAAGAATTCATTTGATCAAATATTATGATAATTGATTAAATGTCAAAAGTATTTCGATGTAATGTTGTACGTTTCATGCAGAACATGCTGTTTTCAGCCTCTCAAATATGGAGATAAGTGGATATTTGTGCTTTTTGGACTGAAAAACAAGGCATGTTCAGACTTTGAGACCGTATGGATATGCGTCTCTATTTACAGACGTTTGATACACCAAACAAGTAATGAACTATCTAGAAACAAAATGTATTGTACCATTTCAGGAGATGTTGTATAGTTATTAACTGTAAAGATGAGAGATGCAATTTTATCCTCTTACCCCGGGGTCTAACCGGATTATGTTGAAGGCTTTCCCGTACACTTTGTTTGGACTCGAGGTGGAAAACAGCTCCTGGAAAACCACATACAGCAGCCCACCTGGAACATAAAGAACACATTGTAATGCTCATATCAATTATTTAACTTCAGATGATAAATCTGCCTGAAATCGTCTTGTAGTTACCCGTCACTCCCAGTCCGATGAGAACAACGATCAGGTAGGTGAAGTCTCTACCGGCCGCTATCACTGCAACATATATTTCACAATGAGTTAATGTAGACTCTTACTATGACTTTGGTACTTGTAAAAGCACTAACACACATATACTGGGTACAATCTAACATGTGCTTGATTTCATTAATAAAATAACGAATAAATAATGTTTTTACGTCCCCTTTTTTGTCTACCGTGCTATTTGAGAGTGTTACAACACTGTCAATGTTATAGTATTTCATGCTGCTACTTGTTGTCTTACCTTGAATATGTTTTTTATTAAGATTTAAAATCAGACATCCTGTAATTGTCCCACAGTGGGGACATGTACAATGTTACAGCAAAGGGCACAGTGTGGACACATTAAGACAAAAGGACAATACTAACATGTCATATGCACATGAATGCAATACCTGTTTGAACATGTTTTATCATAAGATAAATCCCCGTGGGGAAATTCAGTAGTTTAACAGCAACAGGGTGAGATTGAAAAACAGGACAGCACAGATTCATTAATACAATTAAAGATCTAAATTAAAAAATAACTATAAAATAAGAAATGAATCAAAATGAACATATATACATATTGGGTCATATATTAGTCATATTTAAATGTGTGTGTGAAAACAGTGTGTATTCTATGTCCAGTAATTGTGTCGTGCAATTCAGTTCCCAACAGAGGTCCACACTCCTCTGTGTTTCTAGTAAAACTACTTCAGTGTCTCGCTGACCTGAATGCAATACCTGTTTGAGCATATCTTATAATTAAGTACAGTATATTTCTAGTAAAACGTCTTCAGTGTTTCGCTGACCTTTCTGAGCCGCGGAGGGCTTCGGGCTCCCACTCGGATACCGGGACACAGACCGGTCTCTGTCCCCGGAGCTGCTGCTCAGGTTCCGGGCTGCAGAGCGGAGACAGACTCCCCGCTGTGCCCGGAGGAAGCAGCTCAGCACGGGCAGGAAACACCGGGGAGCCTCGGTCCTCTGGAGGGTCAAACCGGACACCGTGCACGCGTTCCGGAGTGTGTCTCTTATTATACATCCATGGTGTGTGTGCACGAGAAAACTCACGTGTGTGTATTTGTGTGTCGCTGTCCGGTGGAGAGCTCTCAATATCTGCGTGTAAGCCATGATTACTGTGTCCTCTGTGAGTGAGTACTTTAGCACGGACAACTAGCTAAAGCTGCACGCACACACGCGCACACACACCGAGCACAGGATCAACTAATATAAAGTTAATTATTATTCTTAGTCGTGTATGCACAACCTAACACACTAACTATTTGACATGCTGTGCTATCTGTGTCAAATTGTGTTTATGATTCAGAGGCGCATACTGTTGACGTCACGCACAATTTCAAGGACTCATGGGAAACTGAGTTTTGACCAGTAAGATCTAATCAACATTTTGCACAATATACCAAACAAATATATATATTTGAACACGTTTCTAGATATTTAAATATACCTCAATATATATGTTTACTATTGTATATTCAGTTCAGCTATTTAATAATATCAAAATTGATCTAAAATGGTTATACATTTATAATCATAAATGTAACAGTACATTTATCGTGAACCTCATTGTTAATATAAGGTCAATTTGACATGAATAAATGCAACATAACAAAAAGTACTCCTAATTGAACTGGATTTCTATGTGAATTTAAAGAATATATTAAGACTATTTAACGTGTAATCACTTAATAATTCCTTAGAAGTACATAGTGACCACTTTAAGCAAGAACAACATCTGTTTTTTATGTTTTCTTCTTATATACATTCAATTAAACATCCTCATGTCCTCATTTGAAAATATTAGTTTCTTAAGTCAGCTGTTTGCATCGATTTGATGTCATATATAATGGCCATTCGGGGCAAGTGGTAATAGACATTGTATGATACTGACAAAATCAATAATCACCAAACGATCAGTAAACATCAGTTTATTGAAAACATTTTATCCAGCATTTTCTGTTATCAAATCAAAAGTAAAGGGGTTTAAAAAACACCACAATGAAGTGAAGTGTGACCAAAGAGAAAGTAAATAACATTCATCAGAGAGAGAGAGGGGTAAATAAACAGTAGTGGACGGTCATAATCACGCTTTACGAGGTTTAACATCACTTTGTTTCAGACATTCTTCGTCTTCTCAAAAAGGCGTCTCTTGTTTAGATATAAAAACAACCTGATACTCTACTGTAAAGAGATGACATCAGGAACTAAAAGTGAAATCAGCAGCTGCAATGTGATACAATGATTAAAAAACCTGATTCTGTTTTGAACCACTTTACATTAAAGGTACTCTTTAAAACACACGTTCAGTCCCGTGTCAGATTTACCCGCTGCTCGTGTTTCCCAGCAGGTGTTCGGGGGAAATGCACCTCTGCTGTCCCAAAGCAAAGAAGACAAACTTGCGTACATCACAAACCTTATTTTTTTTTTTTTACTTTTACATTTTTCTCATCACAACACTCTACATTGGTAAAGTTGCTCAGTTCACTCAAGATGCATGGGAGAGAAAAGGTTAGCTCCGAATGCTGTCAAAGCTGGCAAGATGCAGAGGAATGATGCATCTGTCTGATGTATCTGCAGAGAAATGAAAACACTATTACTTTGAGTCTGTCCTCCTGGCCCTTTTCCATCTCCTGCTGCTCTGATCGAATTGGTGCAGACTAATTACTGAGCTGTCGGCCTCTGTCTATACGCTGGCAGATTACTTTGTGACGGTGTGTGTGTGTGTGTTCAAGATAACAGTTAAGAAGAGGGTTGCTTTCTAAATATATATGGTGGCGAAACAGAAAGACAACACACAGATGTGCAATGTGCATAGAAAAGAAACATTTTATTCAAGTCTCTGCAAAAGTGGAAAAGAAGATGGCCGAGCATGGATGTAAATAATACATGACATTGAATTCAGAAAAAGAAATGCACACATAGATGGTTACTACCATAAAAACTGACAGTAAGAAATCAACTCGGACAATGACAGAGTGGGAAAAAGGTGTGTGTGTGTGTGTGGCCTAGCATTACTATCCTTGTGGGGACCTAAATCTGTTTACACAGTCACGTGCGGGGACTCGCCTCCCTTATGGGGACAAAATGGAGGGGAATCATTAATTTTAGGGTGAAGACTTGGTCAGGTTTAGGGTTAGGCATGTGTTGGTTATGGTTAAGGTTAGGATAAGTCTCCAGGAAATGCATGTAAGTCAATGTAATGTCCCCTGAAGTGATGTATACATGGTATGTGTGTGTGTGTGTGTGTGTGTGTGTGTGTTGTGTGTGTGTGTGTGTGTGTGTGTTGTTTAAGTCAAAGCTAATCTCTCTTTCTGTGTATTGCAAGATGTTTTTGAGGGAGTGTGTGAGGCTGATCCGTCCTTTCTGCAGAGTGTGTGGGGTTAATCTCATGAGGGCAAACACCAAAAGTCAATTAACTTGTCCGTCACATACCGGCCATTATTTGGACTCTTTTTTATTGTCCTGTTATATGAAACTAATCCTCTAAAGATAATAAAGCAACAAGTAAAGAAAATGTGTGTGTGCTGCTGACAGTTTGAGGACACACGGAAAAGTAAAAGCCAATAAAACAAAGGTGAAGCTTTATTGTTATTTATTTTACAAAGCATCAGTAAAATCAGCCCTGAAAGATATTTAGAGTAAATGTAAAAACGGTCAATTCGCCCTATAGTATAAAAGTCTGTTTCCATACAAAGAGGCTCCTACAGTAGAAGAAGGCTAGAAGACAACCAGACTTTAAGTAATTAAAAAAAACAAGTATTCTAAAAGTGCAAAAAGTTTTTTGAAAAGGAGTTCAAATGAAAATGGTGCAACTCTCAACATGCAATGCAAAGATGCTTTTCTTCCACTACTTTGATGTGTTACTGAATGGGGGCTTTTTATATTTGAACGTTAGTTTATTAATGTTAATGGCTATAGACGAAGCATGCACAAACCTTGAAGGGTTATCAAAATTATTTTAGCTTTCATTTTGATTAGGTTAGTAACTAATGCCAATAAAACAAATCATCCTAGATTTTAAAAACAGCAAGCTTCTATAATTATCTTTAAAAATCATAATATGTATGCTATTCATTTGAAAAACACATGCTTCAAAGTAACTTTAATATACTTTATTACATTAATTTCAGTGAGGGATCTATGATAATGACACATTTAAAGTTTAATAATCAATAATCATGTTTATTCTAAAAGGTCCATTTCTTTCCAGAGAGACAAAATAAATCTGGATTTAGAGCTGACGCGTCTCACAGCACGGTGAGTGTTTCATCTAGTCCTTTGTGTTCATCACATGGTTACATATTCAATCTCCTCTCGTCAAAGTGTCCCTTCGTCATCATCATCATCATCATCATCATCATCATCATCATGCAGGTGTAAATCCCCGCTCCGCTTTCTCATATGTCAGTGACGCCCGTTCGTACTGATCCAGGATCGCACTATTCTCAAGAAGTCTACATGATGGAGACAATGCAACATAATGTAGAACATAAGAACACACACACACACACACACACACACACACACACACACACACACACACACACACACACACACACACACACACACACACACACACACACACACACACACACACACACACACACACACACACACTGTTCACCATAAAAGACAAAACTACCGGTAACACTTCCTGTGATCGCTCCATTGTGTGCACGCTTGAAGCTGCAGACATTTTGTAAATATGCACTGAAATGCAACTCTGTTATGCTGATATTTGCATATTAAATATATGTATTATATATTTGCATATTAAATGTATTGTTATCTTACTTCTTCATGAAAGCACGGTGATGGAGCATCCACATGAAGTGTTACACACAGGCAGAAATACTACTGTATGCTTCACAATAAACCAAAACACAAAATACTACAAGGACAGAAATCATGCACAACTACAGAGGAACTCGGCATAAAGGTTTCATCAGTAAATACTTACAGACTTTAAAAAGGTTTTTAAATAATCTCAATTCGCTTTCTTTAGTGTGTGCACAAACATCCCACTGATTTAATGGATGAAAACATGTGGGATGGTACGGAAGAGGATTAGGGACACATGTCAACACTTTGAGTTTTCAGAAATCTGAGAAAAAAGTTAGTTTTCGTTAAATAACAATATTTTAAAAATGTATTTGAGTTCTGAGATTAAAGTCAGAGTTCAGATAATAAAGACAGAATATATGTCTTAATTCATTTCAGTTTGTATTTGAGGTTTAAAGTGGCCTAGGTGAACTGACACATTTCTAGGAACTTTTGATGTAACTTTGACTATATAGCAATTTAGACTTTAATCTCAGAGTGAGATTTAAATCAAGAACTCAAACACATTTTTCACAATGAGTCCTAATCCTCTTCCGCAGTAAGGTGTCTGCTTTATAAATGTGTGCTTTGATGTGGATTTAACAAGCTTCTTTCCAAGATAAGTGTGATTTTCTGCAGGTAGAGAAGTGCAGAGGTTAGACATATTGTTCGATAACAGCTTCAACTACAGATGATTGAAAAAAGTCCATGCTGATGAAAATCCACTGAGTGATACCACGTATGTCTTCGGGAGACATACGGCAAACTGGAGCATCACAACAAAAAAAAAACGTACAAGGAGGGCAAGATGGCCGCAAGCAAGAAAACCATCTTGGTGAAAATGAATAAATAAAAGAGCAAGAAAACAACCCGCGCAAAAATCACAGAAAAGGAAAAGATAACTTACATAAAGTATAATTACTGACTGGGCAGATGATGACTACACAACAACATTTAGAGATGTCCGTTGATAGGGTGCTTACCTTGAGATTGTCTCTTAGACCCTAGTTGTGTTGTACTCTGATTCATGTTTGCTCAAAGAGCCAATGAGGCAGAACCTGAAATGTCACGGCTCTTTCTTTAATATCAAACTCGTTTTGCATAGAGAGGTCAGAATGCACATTGTGCTACAGAACAGAAATACACTTCATTGGTGCGTTGCTAGTCTCTGGGAGCCTGGCATGCAGAACATAGAGAATAAACAGTCAAGAACACTCTGGAAAGAGCGCATAGGAAGTGCATGCAGGAACGTGTTTACTCCAGGTATGCACACCTCCTAAACATTTACCTTTCTAAGCTGTAAGTACAGAGCAAAATACTGTTTTACTTCATAGAAAATCTTCCTCATGCCAAAGTGTTGAGCTTTATATAAGTATTGTTTGCAGTAAGAAATGCATATTTGTGCATGTTATTAATCACAATGAGGCACAGATTCAAGCCCTTGCATTAACAGTCAAAACTGGACTAATTATATCATTAATATCATTTACAATGAGGTCTGTATTGACACATTTCAAAGTAAAGTTTGGTAATAAGAGTTCAATCATGAGTTTAAGGTTGAAACTAGCAGGGGGTGCTTGACATGTTCAGTGATGAGCATGCAAGAGGGGACATAATTTAGCCCTTTGTGAAAAAAATATGTTTAATGATAGAAAGGGGGAGAAAAAACAGGGTTAATGCAAACAAAAAGAAGCTTATTATATTATTAAAAAACATGAGGAAGCTAAAATAAAAGGAAAATCAAAATAAATGTATCCCACACACACTTCCCCATCGCTAACTGCTGCTCTCCTCATCAGAAATCTATGGATACTGACCGCTGTACTGCCTTTTCGTGGCGGGAGAGCCGGTGGCTGGTGGTGGGAACTTCCTCCATTTCGTCGTCCATGTCGCATCCGTTATCCGCCGCTTCCTGTGAGTAGCTGTGCTTCATCACCAGGATGCTGCGTCTGTTACCAGAGGACGGCAGCAGGGGGCGCACCGCCATGTTCTGCTGCGGGAGGTCCGTCAGCAGCGCGGCGGCGTCGCGACTCAAGTTCCCACGGCTTCCTCGCCCACTGAGAGACAGCTGGGATAAGTGGGCGGAGCCAGGGTTTGAGGAGGAGCCACAGTGATGATCGTGGATGCATCTCGAAGAGGCGCGTCGCAGAGCGTGGTAGTTCTCAAAGTCCTCCGCCAGGTCCACTAAGTCTGCGGAGGTGTTGGCGTTAGCGTTGGCGCTGCGTAACGTGCACAGCTCGTAGTGAGGCGGCTCGAACACCTCCTGGAACATCGTCGGGTCGAAGTCCTCGCGCCGCAGGATGTACTTCTTGCGCGGCTGCTTGATCTGCACGATGACGGACACGATGAGCAGCAGGAGGACGATGCAGCACGTCACGCCGATGATGGTGCCGTTCGTGTTGTTCAGGTTGTCCAAGATGTTGGCTTTCCTCTTCTCTGTGCAGAGGAAGAGACAACAGAGCTTGATACATCTCAATGTCAAAACACAACTACAGTTCTATTCCCAGTTAGTCGACCATTAGCGAAACACTTGCGAGACTAGAAATGCAGCTCAGTAAGAGACATATTCTCAGAGTTGGGATAGTGCTTACCTTTTTCTAGCCTTAGCTGAACTAAAGGGATGGATTGAACATTGGAGATCAATGTCTCATCTTAACTGTCTTGCCAGAGTTTTGTAAATCGAGGGTAACCATCTAGACAAGACCTGCAATTCAAATGATACTGTGATTTTAAAGGTTAACTTAAAACCATTGTTTAGTAGCTGGTCTTCATCCATACTTAATAAAAGTTATTGAAGTGTTCAAACTAACCCAGAGCAAATTCTTGATACATCACAATGTGAAAACACAACTACAGTTCTAATCCCTGTTAGTCGACCATTGGCTAAACACCTCGAGACTAGAAATGTAGCTCAGTAAGAGACTTATTCTCAGAGTTTGTAAAGTGCTTTCTTATGTTTAGGTCTTCGGAAACTAAAGGGATGGATTAAACATTGTGTCTGCTCCCATGTTGGCTGACAAAGTGTTAGTAAGTCTAGCTACCTACCCTACTACTACAGTAGAAACCAAACCAAGCAGTTCCTCCAAGGACTTTTCAGGTCATTTCTAGACGGCACATCCTCGATTAGAAACTAGAACTCTTCGAAACTACTGCGACGTCCACTTCAAAACAACCCATCCTAACTTCCAACCATTCGAGTTCAATGTCTCATCTGAACTGTCTGGCAAGACCTGCATTTCATACTAAATGATACTGTGATTTTACAGGTTAAGCTAAAAAAAAAAGACATATTCAGAACTAGCACAACGATAGCATTGCTCCATCGTTTAGAAGCTGGTATTTGCCAGTAAATTAAGCTTTCAAACCAAAACCAGAGCAAATTGTTCAAACTTTTTGGCGCAATTTCATACAAAGTCAACGCAAAGACTCTTATAATTGCATATTTGCTCCAGGTAATGCAAATCAAACATCCTAAAGTCTGCTTAATTTGAGATGTGTGGAGAGTCCATGACGTGTGCTTGTCTTTTCGCTGAAAAGTCATTGAACTGAGCCTATGAAGCTAATTTTAGTTTTTGTTCTCTGTCCAAAATCGAAGACCTAATATCTAAAAAATACTACCAAGAACTTCAAGAGTTAATCTGCCATTGTTGTTATAATGATGCCATGTGATAACGGAGAGCAACAGTAACAAAGAGGGTGAGGCTGAGCAAAAGGTGATAATGATTTCCTTAGCAACAACTCAAAGATAGATAGCTCACATGTTCAACACAATTTGAACACATGCACAAGAGTCTGTGGCTCTCATATGAAAAAGACGGAGGGAAGGTCACATTGGGCCAAAGCTACGGTCTTTTGTCATGAGAGAAGAGAGGCAGTCTGTGGGGAGATGTGTGACATTGACATGCTGTATGAAGATGTAACACAGCAGCTTCACTGACACTAAATGGTTACAATCAGAAGGGTAAAGAAGAAGGGGATAACACCTGACATTTGATCACTAATGAGGACAAATGTAGTCAATGTGCGGTGAGAGAGAGAAACACGGCCTCTTCATGCTGCACGGTTACAAACGCAGGCTGGAGCGCTCTCTCAGTGTGAGTGAGGGTTTAATTAATTGATGCAATTTGTCATTTGCTCGGCTTAAGAGAGAGTAACAGTACTGTGCATACAGAATCCATCTGATTAGATGCAGGGAGGAAGGGTAACTGTGGGGCTGAAGGGAGGTTTACTGCAGAGCTACTGTTGGGAACATCCTGAATGTACTCTTCCAACATGAGAGTAACGTGATAACAAAGGTATCCCAACTGTAGCTGTGAACATGACAGGATGTGTGATTACCTAGAAGAGCATCAGGACTGTTTGAGGCAGATGATAGCTATGTGATTAACATGATGATTCAGCCTCTATGGAGAGAGACATCAAGCATGCTCATTTCTGACGTGGAGCTAATCTGAAGTAAACATTGAATACTGCTTTCTATTCCTCCATCTTGTGACTGTGTAACTCCCTCTCTTGGATATCAGCATGTGAAGGACACTGTTCAGGAACTAGTTGATGCTCTGTATGTGATGACTCCTTCCATTCTGGAGAGGATCACAGATACATGGATCCTGAGATTGAAACTCAAGCCGGGGACGAGTGAGATAATAAGGTAATTGTACCACAATAGTAGAGGTAGTTAGCGTTTATGCATTAGTTTGAAATAACGACAGATCTGACCTGCAAGCCAATGACAGCAGCGTAATGAACAGCAGAGACGTATTTATGGAGGTGTGAGATGCTTTAGGGCTACAGTATAGATGCCACTTTACAGTATGTACTACAGTTATGAAAGGTTGAGGAAAAGAACATTAATTAATTGGCGATATAATGCAGAGGAAAAACTTCCCCAGTCTTCACACGTCTCAGATAATTAATGTAGTGGCATACAAACGAAGAAGCAGCGATAATAAATCCTCAGTGAGAGGATGAATTATGGAGCGGCCAACAGCAGACCCTGGGGATCAATGTATGGATCCAGAGGCTTTAAAATTCAAAGTGCAGAGGGGGATCAAACTACAGCGGAAATGAAGGAATTGATGGTATCACAAAGTCAGAGAGTACACAGGCACTTGATGCCTGGAGGCAGGGAGGAAAGAGAGCAGCTTCAAAGACCTGGACCAACAACCAGATCAGCGGTCACAACAAATATCGTCCTCTAAAGTATATGATTTACTATAAATAACAATATCAATGCTAAGTTAAGCATTTTGTATTACAAGTTATATTGCTTTTACCTCATATAATATTTAACAAATTGTACGGTGTCCTTGGGTTTCATGAAAGGCATTTTAAATCAAATGTATTATTATTATTATTATTAACACTTGAAAACCAGTGAGGAGAGCACAACATAAATATCTTAATGAAATAACCAAAACGTTGGCTAATATTATTATGTTCATCGCATAAAAAATGAAATACAAATAAATTAGATCAGGGCTTTTGATAACACAAAACCTCAAATTGATTTAAATAATAAAAAAAAGAATAAAAGCTACCAATAATTAATACAAATAAATGCCTGATTCAGTGGATGATATTTAATCTGGGGTGCAATATGTTTCCCCTTGTTAAGTGACATTTAAAGGCAATCCTCAACCGTTTTTGGGCGGTATTTGCAAATGGACAGTGTTTGACTTTCTTCTGCGCATTTCGCCTTACGAATCAATATACATGTGGAGCTTCTGTAGCAGTGGCGGCGCTAGGGGGTGGCTACTTGGGCTCAAGCCCCGGATGTTTTCTGAAAAGCCCCGGATGTTTCACTTAAAAAATATATATATTTAATTAAAACAATTTGTTTTATATAACGTCTCGGGAGTAATGTGCAGTACCGGAATCCACCAGAGAGGCAGCCACTGTGGGACATTAGCCTGCGTACTGCGTAGCCTGCCCTGAAGAAGAAGTGATCCTTCCTAGTGCCTGACGAGTTTTAAGCTAATAGCCTATACAGTTATGGATATTAGAAAGTTATTGTCATCGAAGCAGCCGGCACCACAAGCTGCAGCTGTCGTCACCAGCAGTGAAGAAATGGATGATGTTTCAGGTTTGTGAATCTAATGGTGATATCTGCACTCTGGCTGACTGAGTAAGAAGTGAAAAAGAGTGATGTTATAGAGTTAATGTTATAGCTAGTAAACATGGAGTAACCACACTAAGTATACCCTTATATGTTAGTATGTATACAGAACATGACTAAACATTATCCTAAGATGTAACGTTAACCCTTCATAACTCAGTCTACTTTTAAGACACTAAAATAACGTATTCCAATTTTTATTTTGTTTTCACGCGTGGAATTATACCGGCTCTCGTTTCAGTACACATAACAACAGAACTGACAGGCAACCCTCTGAATCAGACTCCGATTGGCTGTGACTGCATCCACTCAGAGTGTCCGATTCAGAAACGTGACTCTACACTCTTTACGTCACAAACAAAGATGGAGGATGAGAATAGATCTTTAAAACGATAAGCAATGCGCCAGAATCAAGGTGAGACTATCCGCATCCTTTAAAACTCTACGCACATTCGTTACACCTTAATAAGTAAACGACTATTTGAGTGAGTGAAGGCATAAGTTTGCTTCATTAAAGGGTGTTAATGAGTGTTCTCCAGTGCCTTGTCCGCTCTAAGGTGTTATTAAGGTAGGGTTAATGTTGCTCTCAAAGTGCACCAGATTGATGCTTTCAACTTCAATATTTAAAAACAAAATCTTCCCGGGGGAGCATGCCCCGGTCCCCCCGAGAGGAGGCGATGACCCCCCTAAAGGATGTTCGGTCCACCCCCCACTTATAAAAAATAGCACTGTACCCCTGCACCCCCCACACCCCCCCCCAACCCAACGACTCCTGGGCTAAGCCCCGGATCTCCTACAATCCTAAATCCGCCTCCACCTGCTCAGTTACATGTTGTCGTTGTAAGTGTGTAAAGGATTAAAGTAAAAGTCCAGCAGTGTGTAAACCCTGGGTGTTTCTCAATGTCGGGGACGCTTGCTTGGTAGGACAAGTCCCTCCGAGTCACTTCCTTCAGAAGCGAGGCAAGAATCCTTCCTAGCCTCGGAAAACGAAGAATGGTGGAACAGGTGTGCGTCATATGAGAGGCCCCGCCTTCAATGGAGCGCGATTTCCGCCAAAGAATTGGAAATTGGTCCGTGCGCAAAGCATCTTGAGGCCAGGAAAAGGCTCTGTGACCTTTTTACCTGTGCTGGACTATGGTGATTTGTTATATATGAATGCACCTGCCAATTACCTGAGCAAGTTAGATGCTGCGTATCACAGTGCACTGAGATTTTTGACTAATTGTAAAGCACTTACGCATCACTGTACCCTGTATACCAAGGCGGTTATGCCATCACTTACTGTACGGAGGCTCAGTCACTGGTACTTTTTCATTTACAAAGCCATGCTGGATAAACTACCATCTTATATCTGCTCCCTGATCTCTCTGCGAATTGAAAGTACTTATTGCCTGTGGTTTTATTAAATGTGCCAAGTGCTAGGACTGTCTTAGGGAAGAAAGCTTTTAGATGTGCAGCTCCACTAACATGGAACAGTCTGCAAAAAGAATGGAAAATTACCAAGCTAGTACCACTACATGTTTTTAAAGGTTGGATGCTACAAAATCAGATGCTGTTGGTACCTGTACTTGTGGTTAAATATGTAAATTGTAATCCCTGTACATTTTGCTGTATGATGTCCTTTTGTTGTTCTGTTGTTTATGTTTGTATGTCTTCTTGTGGAACCTACTGCTGCAGGTCTCCCTTGAAAAAGAGATCATTGATCTCAATGGGATTTCACCTGATAAATAAAGGTTTTGAATTGAATTGAATTGAATTGAATTGAATTGAATTGAATTGAATTGAATTGAATTGAATTGTGGGGATTTTAAGACCGCGGAGTCTAAACACGCCGCCTCGGTAGAATTCCAAGGAGCCTGGACATTGGAACAGTCCTTCGGCGGGACTCGATGACGTAGCATCCTTGAAATAGTGGCTCTGGAGCATCCTTCCTCGACATTGAGAAACACTCCGCTCTGCTTCACTGCCGCTCTCCGTGGTGCTGAAACAATCAAACGTAGTGTCTTACGATTCTAAAAACATCTCACCTTTGCATTGGTTCTCATCCCAGGGGTAGACGCAGTTCTGCATGCCGTTACACACCAGCGTGCTGTTGATGCACATGTTGCTGTGGCAGAAGAAGGCGTCGGCATCACATGGAGCTGGAAGTATAAAACAAATACACACAATTACATAAATGTACTTACTTTTCTTTACATAATGCCATACTTACTCATCTGCAACTTAAGTGATTTACACTTTTTACGCTCATGAACAGAAGCAAATGTGTTTTGGATACGCTGCAACAGACCAGAGTTATTTAGGGCTTCAGAGAGTGAGCCAGATCTTGAGATATATTGGATGTGCATTCCTCAGATCAGACCTTTTCCCCCAGAACCCATCTGTGCCATGCAGAGGTTTGGCAGAGCTCTGGGACTGACAGTGTTACCACGGTGATACACGGCTGAATTAGAGTGAATAACCTCCATCTGTCTCTGAACCCCGACCCGTCTGCCAACACTTCCTGACTCACATAGTCTCTGTGAGTTCTCAGTCTTCCACTTCCTCTCTCTCAGACTCTTTTCATTCATACACTTTATGCCAACGGTGGTTTTTGTGGTCAGTTCCAGCAGAGGGAGCCCTCTTCTTCTTCTCCTCCTCCTCCTTCTCCTCCTCCTCCACCAGACGATATGAAAACTGAGATCCACATTTATCTTCTGCTAAATTAATTTCCCTACTCTCTGTAATATGTTTGCCCACACAAAAGCACACCCAGTCACTGCTGGGAGGATGAATTAACTCCTGAATGACAGTCTGATGAAAGTAGGTGTTTGTGCAGAGCGTATCTGCAGGGAAGCAACACATGGTAATCACTTCTTCTTCTCTCTTATTTAAAACCACCGTCGCCTCGCAGTACGTTGGAGGTCTTCTGCCCCGAGGCGAACTAGCAGACAGAGTTGACAATGAATTCAGATCACCCCACACTTCTCCTTTTAATCTCAAAGTAAACCGAGATAAAAAGTGCTCGGAGAGGATCTGATCCGAGACCCAGCAGAGATCCATACGTTAACAGAGCATTAGCATACTGTGTTGTTCTCAAACGCTCTCATGCATCCAGCACAAGAAGCTTTGCAAGAAAAACCAGAAGTGATGTGTGCAGTGAAGCCGGAGCAGATCTCCCTCTGAGCCCCGGAGATTTCTGTTGGTGAGGCGTAACAATGCTGACAGCCGGGATGTCACACAGGCACATTTATCACCTAAGACATAATTGCTTCTTGGGTAAAGATAGGCTTCACTTTCTTATACGTCACACTGGTAATCTAACGCTGTAGGTGTGCATAGCAGGAGTGTGTGTGAGCCTGGAAACAGATCTGCAGGTGGGAACGTGCTGGAGGTTTGGGAACATGTTCCTCTCCTAAAAGCTGCTGGTCCCACTGGGAAACAGCAGCTGTGAGCAAACAGAAAAGCTGCAGCGAGGGAGAGTTTATTGTGAATGCAATATAACCTGCAAAACACACTCTCTCTTGTAGAAGGGACACACTGTGTTGCTTTCACTTGGGGAAGGGAAGTAATTAACTTCATACTGTTCTTCTGTAGTTCTCCCCGATCAACCCTTTCATTAGCAATGACTTTCAAACATGTTTTGAGTACACTTTATATGTCAATAATGCAACAATGATTTATTATCTCCTTACAGGGCTGTGTAATAGTTATGAGAACCAATCAATACGCATTACAACAACCACCACTTAAAGGTGGGTGGGTAATTCACTTCAGAAACACTTTTTGTTATATTCCATGGAATGCTCTTAACATCCCGATAGCAATGAATATCTGAAGTGCTTTGACAATAAATACATACAATAAACCTCATCTGTGGAAGCCGTGGCGCTGTAAAAAGCACGACCAATAATTTGAGCCGGCTAAAGTACCTGGATGGCCTACCTGCCTGTCAGCCTTCCATCTCTTCACAGACTTATCTCGTGCCCTCATTGGTCATGTGCGCGTTCATGTGTGTTGGAGGAGGGGCTCTGTGAGGAAGTGGCAGATTTTCTCCGGCTGTGTATTTTTAAATTCCAGCGCACTCGAGCTGGTTTCTCCAAAATGACCGACCCCACCTTTAAGTATTTTATAATCACTTAAAAGGTCAATTATCATAAGACGTATAGAATATAATTGCAGCGCACTCACTGTTTCTTTCAAGAGTCATAATGTATTATATTTCATAAAGTTTAATTATAATCTTATAACAATGCATTACAATGTGAGTTTCTCTAAGTGGAAATGTTATGAGTTCATTCATGCAAGAACAACCCAGGAAAACGTGAATTCATTTGTCTTTACCTACAGAGAACAATGACCACCTGAATATATATATAATGATATTATACTTGACCTTATGAGGTCCTAAAAATGCTTTAAAATGTTGTTTAACCATCGGAAATGTTGATGGGAACATACTTCTAAGTCCACTGCTCATTAAAGACGCCTATCATTGGTTTACTGAACATATGTGAGTGGTTGCCGGGCAGCACAGGGTTGTTTTAGGCGACATTTTTCTTTAAAATCGTAATGTCAGTCTGTATTTTGTCCGCTCAGTGGAGTCATTAAAATACTTTCCTCGCCTTCCTGTGCCCTGCTAGCTTTCCAATGTGATGACTGTAGGCTTTTTCACTTGTTTTATACAGTATGATGAAATCAACAACAAAAATACACATAATGTGGGCAAACAAGTGAAAGAGTGCACACAGGTTATAACAATCTGTCCAAACTGTCAAAGAATAATTCTTCCTTACTCCTAAGATATTTAACCTTTCTGTGTGTTGACGTTTACGACCAACCCTGACTCTGTTATCTCCGTAAGGAATGTGTTAATGCAGTCATATGTTGATATTTCTCAGTTTAATGACCTCTGTCACAGAGCCTAAGAGTCAGGCAAGTGATTCAGTATCTCCAGATGTTGGGGGATATCTCCAGTGTTCCCAGTGTTTACGCACCATCCCCCAATATGTGGATTAACTCTCTGTAAACTAGTAAAAAAGGTCTATCGAGAGAGGCTGGTCAGATTTGATGTGGCAAACCACCGTGCAGTCAGAACCTCTGGCTGTGTGACTTGTGATGTGAATTTCTCCGGCCGATACTCGTAAATTAACATCAGTGTTTGACATCAAAGCTCCAACTCTCCTTGTGTCTCTCTGAGTCCTGACTCTCCATTGCTGCAGAAGTTTCCCTTACACAAACCATGTGACAAAATGCTGATGCGTATAGATTTAAGCTGCCTGGCTCCACTACTTGAGTCTAGTGTGTTTTACATCTAAAAGACGTTGCTCTGCCGCAGAGTGTGTGGAGACAGTGACTCTGCACCGCTCGCAGCGACCGGGGTAACGCTCAACAAAAACATTTGCTAAAATTAAATGTTCTTTAACCCTTTTGTTGTGTTCGGGTCTCCTTTTCAAGTTACGATTATACAATAACTACTAGTTGTTTAAATCGGAAGGCTTGATGATATCCTCCACAACAGCTTTATAAACACTACGAAACTGATTTTGACAATATGAGACATATTACCCTGAAGGTCTCTTTGAAAATAAAAGTGTATAATTGGGTGTTCGGGTCTAGGAAGAGCAGTGCATTGAAATCAAATTTGGACTAATCAAGATTCATCATTGACTTTAGACTACCTTATCTGTATCTAGCATTCATCAATATGGATCCATTTGACCCATAACACCACATAGCTTGCTAGTTAATAATATAAAGTTCTAAAAGCTTTTTTGGGGGAAATTGTATCCTAATATTAGCCTATTATAGTCAGATAACACTGTCTTCACCATAGGGAACATCCATCCATCTTCTCCCGCTTATCCGTGGTCGAGTCTCGGAGGTATCAGTTCCAGCAGAGAGCCCCAAACGTTCCTTTCCCCTCATCAACCAGCTCTGACTGGGGGATCCCAAGGCGCTCCCAGGCCAGCGAAGAGATATAATCCCTCCACCTGGTCCTAGGTCTACCCCTTGGTCTCTTCCCAGCTGGACGTGCCTGGAACACCTCCCGAGGGAGGCGCCCAGGTGGCATCCTAACTAGGTGCCCGAACCACCTCAACTGGCTCCTTTCGACGCGAAGGAGGAGCGGTTCAACTCCGAGTCCCTCCCTGATGACCGAACTTCTCACCTTATCCCTAAGGGAGACGCCAGCCACCCTGCGGAGAAAACCCATCTCGGCCGCTTGTATCCGCTTGTATATAATGAGTGTATTTAATCCCATTCGTTACTTAAAAATATGTGTTTTGGGGCCATACAATTTAAATAAATGTATTGGACTGTGTTATGACTTGGCTCAGAAGGCCACAACAAAGAGGAGACACATCATATCCTAGTTTAACAAAATATGTTAATTTTAGCAAAACCAAATGAATTAAGTTCAAAACCAGTAAAGTATGAGGTGTGGATGTCAGTGGTATCAGTAATGTAAATGCAGGGTGAGGATTGTATGGACGTGTATGTGTGTGAGAGTGTTGAAGTGCACAAAGTAAAGCAACTGAAGAAACTCATAATATACTCAACAAAAACCAGGATGCCTGCAGGGAGAAGCAGAGAGAGCACAGAGAGGAGCAGAGAGGCTTTAAATAGCTGCAGGGCACCAGACCCAGGTGCCCTGAGTCACTGCAATCACCAATCACCACAGCACAGACAGGACAGCCACCTCCTCTCTACTGATGCACCCACAGCGGCATCACAGACTGAGTTAAATCATGGGTCAAAATTGACCGGCAAACACCATGAACGGAAACAGCTTTCGAACCCAACACAAGGGCTAAGAGGCGAAACCTCTAGGTTTTACACTAAGTGGCAACCTTTCTTCAAATCTCTCTCAGTTTTGTCTACTGCATGGACCCCCCCCCTTTCCTCTTTATTATATATTTATTTGTTGTCTTTGTATTGTTTGATTATTATTCTTTATTATTTGTATTTATTTATTTATGATGTATTTTAGTTTTGTCCTATAGTCTGTACACCACTCTCTTACAAGTGCAGATCAGCTATGTATGGCTTGTCAATTGATGTACAATAGTAGAGACTAAGCTGAACACTAGTAGCTTTGAACTGTTGGACATTTGTAACTGTGGTTCTTATCAATGTACCAACTGTCTTATCTATGTGTCTT